AGACCAGAACATCTCCTCACCAGCAATCATCAACCAGATAAGCAGAGATTAACACCAAGATCACCACTAGACATACAAGCAGTAAACAATATCTTAATCAAGGAACTACCAGAGAAAAAAATAGAACAAAACAAAACCCACACCCCCAACACTAGCAGGGCATGCCACAATATATAAACAGAGAGCAAACCCCATTCCATTCTAGCACTGAAAATGTTACCTAGCCGGGTAATGAAACGTTTGCAAGAAAACAACCAAGCTCAGAGAACCCCAAGGACTCCATAGACTAAGGCATGAATGACTGTGAGCAATTGAAGCATGAAGAATAATCATTCCTAAAATATTGGTTATTTACAGTATTTATTTAGTTTAAGGCACCCAACTCTAAAGCAACTCTGGGCAGCTAGGAATATAATTAATGAGATATAATTAAAAGGAAATTTGAGCCAGTTTGAACCATTTGAGCCAGTTTTGAACTTGGACTGCCTCTTCTGCAAACATATTCAGCAGAGATCTCTGGTTCTATGGTTTAAAGATGACTTGATTCAAATTAACTGTGGCACTAACTATGAACTCCCTTTTCTGGATATGTAGGAAGAATAGAGAAAGAGGATAATTCAAGCCTGAGGCTCACTGCTGCATATTTCTCCTTGCTGACATCATATTAAACTATGCAATGGTGTAACATCTGAACACATCCAATATAAATTCTGAAAGAGTTAAAAGAAAAAAGTTATTTATTTCACAAAACCATGTATATCTGGTAAGTATTAAATTGGCTGAAAGACTGGGATAAAAAGAAGTTTGTGTAGAAATGAAAGATGAACTATAGATTTTGTTAGAACCGAAGATTCAGGAGAAATGCTTCACTGCTTTCAAAGGATTTTTTTTATCAAGTTGGAGGCTTTGGAAATGCTCCACTGCTTTTAAATGAGGTTTTGTACCAAATCTTGATATAGATGTAATACTAATACTCAGCTGAAAATAATGGAAGATTTCTATCACCTTCAACTTAATTTAGGATTTGGCTGAAATGTTCCAACATAAATAATGACAGATTTAATTCAAAGCACTTTGTTCTATTTCCAATCCTTGATTCTCCTGAAGGAGAAAAGGTATCCTGCATACATTTATTAGCAATCTGTATAACATTGTCATGGTGGTGAGCCTGATTTTAGTTTTGGTTCCTACTACTTTAAGATGACAAGCTCCATGAATTCTTTACATTCACTGTAGAGCAGTGCTACCCAAACCTGGGTAAATTACCCAAAATTGGGTAAAAGTGGTTTTTATTTGAGTAATGACACATGAACCCATTACTCAATCACAACAGGGGCATTTAAAGTGACTTAAAGATTTTCTCCCAAAGTATTTCTATTAGGACAAAAATCAATGAAATTATCAATGGTAATCTATTGAAATGACATAAAGATCATTCAATGATACTGTTTTTACAATACAGATAGTCCTCGAGTTATGACCATTCATTCAAGTTACGGTTTTGGGTAATGAAGGAAAAGGTTTGGGAAGCATTGCTGTAGAGGATATAAGGCAGATACCCATAACGGAACAGGCTTTTTCAGGAGGGAAATTGGAAGAAATCAAGCAACCACAGATAATCAAATATGACATCACAGCTCTTCTTGACCAATTAAAAATAAATAAATATTATATCAAAAGAACTTCAGTGTGACATAGCAGATTGTATTAAAGAATGCATTTTTTCTCTGAAATCAGCCATCAGTCCCTGGACCTGGAAAATGGCCAGTCTAAGTATCACTTAAATAAAAGGTTGAAGGGAAAATAAAGGAAGTTATAGGCAAGGAAATGTCTGTTCTGAATAAATAGCAGAAAGTAACATGGTTAAATAAGAACCAAAATGGCTTCTACAAAAATAAGAGGGTATTTTGACAGATCCCAGTAAGCATGTTCATAGAGTGATCTGACATACAGTCAGGTCCAGAAATATTGGGACATCGACACAATTCTAACATCTTTGGCTCTATACA